TTCTCGTTTTCAGCGCGTAAATCGCTTACTTCTTTCTCAAGAATAGCTGCCGATTGCATCGTGGTTTGACAGGCTTTTAAAACTTGATTTATAGCAGAATTAAGCGGGCTCGGTGGACTTTTTGAGCGCTGCTTTAGTAAAGCTTTAATTGAGGAGGCTTGTTTTTGTTATTGGACGTAGTTCGACGGCGTTTTTGGCGACCACTTACTATCCCGGCTCGAGGGGGGGTCGGCGTACGGAGGCGAATATCGAGCTTCGAAAGCACTCGATCGGGGTTATAAGGCATTAAACCGGCGCCGGCGAAGCTATTCTTAATAGTCTCCGATTTAAATGCCTCGATTCGCGCGGACGGGTAGACTTCGAGGAAGTCTAATTTATTGATATGATTAATCCGGAGCCGCATTTTGCTTTCGATAAGCCGACTATACGCGCGCTTTAATACCGCAAAACAGCCGATATCAAGAGGCTGTAAAAGGTGACACGAGTGCGGAGGCATACAAATTGCGATAATATTGTTTTTCTCGCAAATTTCGTCGAATTTCGGAGTTAAATGACTCCCGTGGCCGTCGAGTATTAAAAGTCTATACTTCCCCTTCGTACGCGAAGAAGTAGACGGAATAAAGAGCTTTTCGAGCCATCGAATTCCAATTTCATCGGAAGTCCATCCGTTAGGACTAACCTCGAAGCGCCAATCCTCCGGGAGGCCGTCGAACCAAGATTCGATAAAGACTTTGCCCTTAAAAATCACGCACGGAGGAAGCGCCCACCCCGAAGCATTTATACACTCAATTGTAGTCACCCACGCGCGATTTCCGGGCTGTAAAAGCGATCGCCGACCGTAGTATTCCCTTCTCGTGATAACCTTCGCGGTCGAAATTAAGCCCATTGCGAATCCGGTCTCGTCAAAGTTGTAGATATCATCGGGATCGATACCGTGAGAAATGATCCTTTTTTGGACGAGAGAAAACCATTCTTCAATGATTTTCGGGTCTTCACATTTAGCGCGCGCGTAATTATAGCCTTTCGAGAATCGGAGGAGAGGACTGGATGCCTTTTCACGAATTTTGTAACCCAATCCTTACCGACTAAAGGAGGGGGGTAGATCCACGCGCCGCGAGTAGTAAATCCGCCATTTCTCGTACGGTAGAAGGCCGAGGGGCTGCTCCGCGAGAGTCCATAGAGAGAATCCATTTTTGAAGCGATTCCTCCTCAATTTCGGTCAATTTATGTGAATTTGCGCGAGTTTCAGCGCGAAATGGATGGCCGGTAACGCGTCGCTGTAGTGTTGTACGGGGTACGTTAAACTGACGCGCTGCATCACGAATTGATAGAATTTCTTGCTTCTTAATAGCCTGGATAGCTAATAAGATCCTACCCTCTTGCTCCATACGGTTTTGAGAGGATTGAGTACGAATTGGTGGCATAGTGGGTGGTTAAAGAAGGAAGGTCTAATTAATTGACGCGTTTTACGTTAGGTGGCCCACTCGGTAGGGGTGGCCCACTCGGTAGGGAAATACGTTACTTGTTTACAATAAGGTAATATCATCCAGCCTCCACTTACTCACCAGTGACTATCAGGCACCGCGTAACAACAAGGCGCCCAGGTAACGGCCCAGGCGATCCACTGGTGTATCTGCTCACAACTATTGTCATAAGACCACAGGATAGTCTCCTTATTTATAGCCGTATAGGCAGCTATTGGCGGACCCTCAATGGATTCAGCGACCCTCAAGGTAGGGTCGTGCCGAGGCGTACCGGTGTCTGTTGAAACAAACATCCGCATACAGCGTGCGATTTTGAGGTACAGTTTGCCCCCAAAATCATTGGCCTGGAAACATTAAAGTCTACTTACTCAGTACAACCCGAAGACCGCTATTGGGTTGTCCTTAGCCTCTGCTTGACACACAACTGCAACCATAATTTCCACCCGCAATTAATTGTTGTACTTCTCCTCTCCTTGCACGAAGAGTCGAATGCCACGTGGCTGTACTAGTGAAACCATACCAGTCATCCAGAAATTTGATATATTATCAGATCGTAGGATATCCGTACATGTGGTGCTGAGGGAACCAATTGAACGAGTTGATTGAAGAAATAACTAAGAGATCGCTGTTGAAGGTGTCTCATAGCCTCAGGGGCTAGTATTGGCGTGTTACAACGCAGATATTCCGAATTGACCCCACGGATCGATAGCCCTCTAGTCTCTACTGGGGATCGCCGTCGGCGCTTCGGTTGCCCTTTTCATCAGATATTTTTGTCAAGATCGTATTGAGTCGCATGAACTGGTTCCATTGTTCTTCTTTATCCCATCAGCTCCCCAGGGCGATGTGATCCTTTGTCTTTCAGCCCATCATGTCAGACCACCCAACGGATGTCCTCAACACAATCAATCTCGTCACACAATGTCTCTGTATTTCGATCGTTACTCTCTTTGTCGCCTTGCGCTTTTACACCCGGATACGATTCAAGCAAAGCCCAGGGGTTGATGATTGTATGTTTCTTCTTGTTCACTATTCAGCTCCTTCTAACCGCTCTTCTAGATAGCTGTATCGTAGCTTGGGTATGTTCAATTAACCTCGAATTCCTCGACAGAGACTAACATCAACTAGCTATTGTTCATGGGATACTGCGCAATAAGTATCATCAGTAAGTACCACCTATCTATCCCTATCTATCCCAATCTAACCAAACCACCTCTAACAACCCCCTCCCCAGTCGGCAAACATGCCGACGGCTACCACTTCGGCGAACTTGACAGCGCACACCAAATCCAATTCAAAAAGTTCTGCTACATCGCAACAATCCTTTACTGCCCAATGGCCCTCTCCGTCAAAATCGCCCTTCTTTCAGTCTTAACCCGCATCTTCGCTCTTTACCGCGGCAAAGTCTGGTTCATCTACATCTTCCTAGGCTGTCTCTGCTGCTACTACATCGTCGCTCTCATCATCAAGATCCGCATGTGTGCCCCGATCCCAATGTACTGGCTCGGTCCAGCGGAGGGCGGCTCCTGTCTCGACCAAGCCTCCGCTCTGATCGCCGACTCGGTTATCAGCGTTGTCAGCGATATCATCATCCTCATCCTGCCCCTGCCGCTCACGTGGTCCCTGCAAATGTCGCGGAGCCGCAAGCTGCGCGTGATAGGTCTTCTCGGTGCTGGTGGTTTGGCTACTGGGTCCAGTCTGTACCGTCTAGTTCTCTTGTTGAAGGATGATAATTCGGCCGACATGAGTCTGATGTTTATTCAAGTCATCTTGTCTGGGTATGTTATGTTCACCCCTTTCCCTTTGCATTCCATTCCCATCCCCGTTCCATTCATGAACCTAACAAACAACAGAAATGCCGAAGGAGGCGTCGGTCTAATCTGCGCCTGTCTCCCAATCCTCAACGTCCTCCTGGCGTACTACAAAAAGACAGCCTCGGACAAATACTACCAACACAGCTCGAACATGGCCCTAAGCGAACGCGAACGGAAGTCCGCCCCGTCCAAGGTTGCCTCCGAATGGGATAAGGCTACTGCATTCGGTGATCAGAGCCATCTGATTTCGTTCGTTAGTGCGCCCGAGGCGAGCGAGTCTTATAACCATGAAGATGGGATTCGGAAAACGGTCGCTGTGTCTCAGACTGTTGAGTCTTCATGACCATGACGTGCACGTATATTGTACATGAGTTATTTTGGCTCTCCCTAGCCTTTGCACCTTTTTTGGTGCCTTTCTTGGTTGTGTATACCCTTTTGTGTATCTATAATGAATTCTTTGGAATAATAGATTCGATATTATTTGATTATTTGATATTGGGCAATTTAGTTTGGTTGAATGTATACATTATGTGTGACTCGATGTTTCTACCAAGGTTGGGCTTCGGGGTTTATCTAGATTGATAATCGGGTTTATACTTCAAACGGCCGTGCAGAGAAGAATGGTGGAAGTTTCCATGGTTTTTTGATCCGCAGGAATAAGCTTAACGATCCTGTAAAATGACCATCTATTCTAACCATTGCTACACTGGCACAAATGGAGACGGATGAGATATTTTGGCCCGCACGGGGCACCTGCGGTCTGAACACTGGCGATGTAGGCCTCGTTGACGGAGGGCTACAGCGCCGTGAGGGCTGCAGGCGGGCCCGTGGCACTCCGTATATTCTAGGAGGAAAAATAGCTATGCGGGAGCATACGTGGAATATACATGAGGGGGTTCCGCGGTGGGCGGGAAGAAACCGTCGCGGAGAGAGCCCGGCTCTCCCTCGAAACGGCGATGTTCTTTTCGAGGGAGGGGAAGGCCAGGCGATATTTGTGTGCGATGTCCAGCACGGGATATCGTGGGCCCGACGCAAGGGGCTCTCACGCAACAGTCCCAAATAGAACCTATCATTTGACTAGTATCTGTACTTTGGCATGCCTCCTTTTCTCGGCCTCGAGCCCTGCATCATTTATCCTCTACCAACTCTGTGGAGCCGCAGTCTGCCACGCCGTTGGCCCCGGACAACTTCCAGGTGGCACGGGATCAACGTTAATCCTGGTGCTCTGTAGCTGGATCTCTGGTGTGACAGATCGCTACGTTTGTGATGCTTGATAGGAGCCCACCTGGGAGTTGGCATTCTCGTGGGAGTTGTGGGAGGGCTAGGCTTGGCTCTATATCCACTTTGAACGTGGCACGATGTGGGTTGGAGAATGGGTGATGTTGTTCTCCCTAGGAGATGGGGGGATGTGTCGTCCCGAATGGACTCCATGGCTTTGGCAAAGTGAACAGCGTGAACTGAATGAAGGGACTGTTGCAGGCTTGCTCCGCAGAGATTTGTCGGCCGCTGTTGTCGGTGGTCTGCCTGAACTTCGGTTGAGGTGCGAGCTTAAACGTTTCCTGCCCCTTTAAACTCGCTGTCGTCACAGCTACTGCTTGGTGGTGCTTTTCAGTCCTACTCCAGGCTTTTCTACAAAATTCGCTATTCTAATTGCTCCCTCGAGTCATCACGACAGGCTAAAAGTTACATATAGACTTGGACGACAATGGCTGTTAACAACACCCCCATCTATGCCTTTATGCCGGGTGCATGGCACACACCCGATACCTTCGATGGCATCCGTGCTATCTTGATCACACGTGGATATGACTCCGAAGCTGTTGCGCTCCCTTCTGTCGGCGCGGCCGAACCCACCAAATCCGGCCTCCACGCTGATATCGCCCATACCAACGGTGTACTTCGGGCATTGGCAGAGCACGGCCGTCAGATTATCGTAGTCACACACTCGTATGGTGGCATGGTGGGCGCAAGCGCCGTCGAGGGGCTCGGATACGCTCAACGGTCCAAGGCCGGTCAGCCCGGTGGCGTGATTATGGTGGTTTGGCTGGCCGCTTTCGTGACGCCCAAGGGCAAGTCCGTTATTGATATGTTGGGAAGGAATTGGTTGCCATGGATGCTTCTCAGTGTATGTATTCCCTGGTCCAGCCTTTGCATTGCAGGGACAAACACTTATAATTTCAAAAAGAAAAACTGTTACTGATGATCATAGGACCCCGATGATGGCTACTGCCGCTCCTCCCAGCAAGAAACCGTCTTCTACCACGACATAACACCCGAAGCCCAAGCAATCGCCATCCCCAAGCTGAAGCCGCAGGCCAAGCCCTCCTTCCTGGAGCCGGCTACCTTTGAGCCCTGGCACGAGATGCCATCCATGTACCTCTTCTGCGACAAGGATGCTGCTCTGCCGCTGTTTATCCAGGAGGGATTTGCGCAGACATTGGGTAACCCGGTAACCTTTCACGTTGATGCATCGCACTCAGGTTTCTTGAGTAAGCCTGAGGAGACGGCAGATGGACTGGAGCTTGCGTTACAGGCGGGGCGGGAGCAGAATGGGATTTATTAGGTTGTTGTTGGGTTCAAAACTGTGTTTGACGTCCGACGATTGCTTTGCATTCCAGTGTTAGGGGCATTGCAATTGATTATTTGATTTATTTTGTGAAGTTCGCGACTGGCTGGGTTTAGATGGAGAGATCAGTAGCGAGAGGCTGCAGACATGCAGCCATAGTAGCTCCCTGCGTGTGATGATGCTTCCCTGGGACGGCCGCACAAATGGTATATACGGACTAAACCGCTCCAGCGTACAGCTGGTAAATAAGGAAAGAAGCTGGCCCAGCATACCTGGCCCATGAACACCTTTTATTGCACTTGTACTGGTCAGGAATTTGAGTAAGTGGTTGTACTTAAGCTTGCTCCTTGATAGCATAAGGTGGGCCTCAATCATGAGGAGACCCCACGCGCATATCCTCGAGGAGGTCCGAGATAACCTGAAGAATGACTATCGATCAATCTCCGAATACCGGCAATCAAACTTTGTCGAATTCCCAAGATGGGAAGGGAAGGAAGCTCCATTGAAAGCTTATTTACGAGAAATTGTGTCGCAACCAAGCCACCATAAAACCCAATAGAATCTGCCAACCCTGGCGGAAAGGAGATTTTGTCTCTGTCGAACAGAGCTAACCATGCCAATGACTGTAACTTGAAATTACAAATGCTTGAATATAATACAGAAGCTTCATCTTGAAAAAGGCTCAAAACTCTGTCAAAAAGTGTCAGGGAAAGGATGGTGGAAGAAATGTGACTCCCCGCTAGGTGAACCCTTGAATTTATACCTCTCCTGCAATTTCCGACTGAGCTCACACGGACCGGGCGTCAGCTTCGGATAGTGTAGTGGATTGGAGGCGCATTTTGCCCTTCAAAATATCGTACCCCAAAACACAATGCAAAATGCGATAAATTACAACTCCGGATCTCAATAACGGTGACTTTTTTGGACACGATATTAAGCCGATAATAATCTAGATAGCATTTCTGAACTACTGGTGCAGTATAGAAAATTTACTATGTGTAGCCATGGAGATAAATATATCCACGTCTCAAATGTCAAATTCATTTTGTATTTTATGTTATAGTGTCAACATAATACAGTCAACTCTCGCTTATACCACGGTGGGATATTGCACATTCTTGATAATAACACATCCCTTGCTTGGATGGCCCCTTCATTCCAGTTTTTTCCATATAAATTGACAGAATATAACACATTTTGTTTTACCACACTTTCTTCCTCTCAAATCTGCTTAGTCAGCGCAATCAACCAATCAGAATGCCTCAATCTACAAGCTCTCCTACCCTCCCGACCCCACCCAAGCGCGTCAGAATGGGACCAAAGCGTACCAAATTGGGTATATCAGACGCGCAGAAACAGGCACTACGGGCATTTTGGTCTAATACTAGCCCAAAGCCCACGCAGACTGCATGTGCTAAGTGGTTTGAGGACCAATTCAAACAAGTGATTGACCGGTCAACCATATCAAGGATCCTTTCATCCAAATACAATTATCTTGATACGGGCCCTGCAGGGGCAAACAAACGATCTTCATCCTCTCGTTGGCCATTATTGGACCAAAAGCTATATGACTGGGCAGATAACCATATTGGCAATGGAATACCAATAAATGGCCCTTTGATCCAAACTAAAGCAGCTGAGCTTTGGAGACAAATACCGGAATACAAAGATCGGACCAAACCTCAATTCTCTGAGGGTTGGTTAACTCGCTTCAAACAACGCCACTCTCTTCAATATCATACTTTCCACGGAGAAGCTGCCTCAGTCCCATCCTCGGTACATGATCAGATCAAAAGCACCAAATCGATTTGCAATCAATTCAAACCGTCCGAAATCTACAATATGGATGAAACTGGCCTATTTTGGCGACGTATGCCAAATGGTGGTCTTTCAAAGGGAAAAATTGCTGGCAAAAAGCTTGATAAAACACGAATCACTATTGTTGTTGCATCAAATGCGGATGGTTCCGATCGAGTCCCTTTATGGTTGATTGGCACAGCAAAAACCCCTCGCGCACTCCGGGGGGTTAATTTCCGAGCTCTGGGATGTGTTTGGCGTCACAACAAGGCAGCATGGATGCGTCATGACATTATGGAGGACTGGTTGCGATCTTTCTATGGGCGTATTCCCTTAGATAAGAAAGCTTTGCTCCTTTTAGACAATGCTTCACCACATGTTATTGGACTCCAGCGAGCGCCACCACCACCCCGGATTACGGTTGTTTTTTTGCCAGCAAACGCAACTTCAATTTATCAACCCTTGGACCAAGGTATTATCCAAAACTTGAAGCACCATTATCGGAAGAAATGGATGCGCTATATGATTGCTTTTCTTGATCGTGGGATAGACCCAAAACAAAGAATGAGCATTTATTATACTGTTACCTGGGTAACGCAAGTTTGGAGAACAAGTGTATCAGACCAAACGATTATCAATTGCTTTAAACAAAGTACTTTGATTAGTCCAAAGTCTATACCTATACCTGAGTCCGCGCCCGAGTCCGCACCTGAGTCTGCACTATTTTCCGAGCCCGGATTGAGTGATGAGATTGAAAGTCTATATAATCAAGCAATTGATAAGCTTGGTGATAAAGATATTGTGCCATTTGACGAGTTTTTGAACCCTTCGGACGAAGACATGTTAGAAGATGGGACTGAAGGGCGAGATGAGACCAATGAGCAAGATATATATATTGCCCCAACAACCTCAGAAATTCAGGATATTGACATTGATGGGCCCCCACCTGAGCTTCTGTCTAATTCTGCTATATTGGACAGCCTCCAGGATATCCTACTATGGGTTTGTAGCAAAGAAAAGGGTACCTCGGACCATATTAGACAAATTGAGAGCTTAATCAGCGACTTTGGCAGGATTCAGATTGATGAGAAACGTCAGGTGACTTTGGATCAGATGATGGGATGGAAGACTAAATAGGTATTAGGGCTTAGAGTTAGCTTGTCAAATATTATGTCATCCTCTCACCAAAACACAACTCAATTATACCACGTAGTTTGGCTTGGATAGTATGCTGTGGTATAAGCGAGAGTTGACTGTAGTCCGAAATTCGGGGCCCACCCCGGGTTTGGATGAAATGGGCTACCGCCCGAGCATCAGCCACCTACGAATGGTCGAACGCGCTGGTGAAGACTCTGGAACTAACATTGAACCGCTCGGCACGGCAGAGTCACGTCTCGGACATGTCGCCTGCCTTCGGAGGCTGCGTCCACTTGCATGGCGCCTCTCGTATCTCGTCCTGGCGGCTGGAATTGAGACCCGACCGTTTGATCCTCGACTTACTCCTCCCAGTGATCATCTTGGAACCAACACCGAGTACGGAGTACTGTTTGGTGCTTTCCTCGTATCGCCACTGAGAATGTTGAATGGTCGTTCACTCTATGAAGTGTCTGTCCAGAAATATTTACAACAATAATCATGATTCTCAAGCAGCTGGAAATAACCTACTTGAGAAGCCCGGAGTAGGACCATGTGAATTTGAATGGGGGGTTCAGGTTGGGCCGCCACTTAGTTGGAGGCTAAGCTCGGCGTATTCGCCCAGTGGCTGCGTGCTCCTATTCACAAGTTGTCATCAAGTGGGTCTAGGATGGGACCATCAAGCCAACCATTCGCCCCGGACCAACCCACAACCCCTCTTTCTCACCGCCTTGAAAGCTTGGAAAAGCTTAGCATCGAATTTATTCCAAAAGCGACCCCGCGAAGGTGCAAGTGTCATTTGGAAATACCCCAAGAACCAAGGTTGGAAGTGTATAAAGGGCCCGCTTTCGTTCTCCTAAGAACCATCTCATTCTCAGCTGCATAACAGTGCTAAGGAATCGGTCTTAATTACCGCTTTGATGCAGTACCTCCCTGCGTCCCATTGGAGGATTATATCAAGCTGAGAAGTAGTATTTTACCACTAAGGACAAGCTGATTCAGCGACTACCCGCTCCTCCGTATGTTTTTGTATGGTAAACCGGATCAGCTCAGAATACCCGCGTCGCAACACGCCATACTAGCCCCTGAGGCTATGAGATGCCTTCAACAGCGATCTCCTAGTTAGTTCTCAGTCAGACTCGTTCAATTGGTCCCCTCAGTACTAGTACGTATGTACGGAAATCCTGCGAACCGGCTAAAAGGAATCTTTATATTAAAATAATAACCAGATTTCAGAGGTTTATCATGCGTATTGAAATGTCTTTCGACATTACACCAGACTGTACCGCCCACGTCGCTTTTCGATGAAGGCGTTTCCATATCCCCACGGCAGCTCGAGATATTCCGTAGCGAGTCCGCTAGTCAGAGTGAATCATATATGCTTATATAATCAGGGAAGAGCGATTTCTTTTTTCCCGAGTCGAAAGGCACAGAGAAGGCTTGTTCTTGTTGTAGTTCAAAGGGAGATTTTGTTCTTGTGCCAGAGGGAATAACTGGGGCTATATACAATGAGAAGATCAAGTTGATTGAAAATCAATTTGGTTCTTCGTATAGACAATGCGGGAATTAATTCCGATGGTGCGGCTTGATTCCTGGACTGCACCAGCCTCATATCACTACAAAGGGGACCGGACCATGTGCCTCGATTTTGGACACTCGGGACTGTTGGGTCATCAGGTATGGCGTAGTATCGAGTTTCATTCGTATCAGGGCCTGATGAACATCCCCCAATCCAGAGAAGACCCCAATCAGCTCCGTACAGAGTCTGTTTGGATGGTTGCTGTTCCCTTTCAGAGAGTGCAGGCCACGGGCAAATTCCCGGAGTTGGGCCTTGATGTTCACGTCCCAGTCGGCATCATCTTCCAGTATCAAGGCAGTGGAATATGAGTTTAGAAGAACACTAGTTTACCCACACACGGCAGTTAGATAGAATGATCTGACACAGAAAACATACGATGTCAACTATACTTGTTCAACGCATTCATGTGAGCTCGCCAACATCCAATCGCATTAGGCTCCGTGAGTGAGAGGTTGTATCCCTGCATTCAAAGTAATTGGTATTTTGTGAAGGATTTATAAATACATACTTTAGGTACTGTGGCGCTTTTTGTTGTAATTCTTGCGGGCAAACTCCGTCAAGCCACTCAACTTCAATTAACACGTTCAATTTTTTTCCCTCAGTAGTAGCATGTACGGATATCGTACGATCTGATAATGTTAAGCAAGCTTACAACTAGCTAACAGATCGGCCCCTAGACCGTAATACCACTAAAAAACTCTAAGCAAGGTAATTATTCTGATTGGTGGGAATTTTATATGTCTTAGTTTGAGGCATTTTCCTTAAAGCATAGAGCGAAATAGGAAGTGATAATCATTTCGTTCTATCACTTCTACTTTGCTTTCTGCAAAACTGGTATATGCCCGGTTAGGCGGCTACCAAACCTTAGAAGGTTATAAAGGTACGACAACTCCTCACCCATCTAGTCCTTACGAAGATACTAAAATTTGTTTTGACTAAGAAAAAGATTTCTAGCTTCTAGTAAACTTGAGATTCCCTCATATCCGCGATGAGATTCCATTCTTTAGTCGCTTTCTTCTCTATTTTCTCGACCACCTTTGGCTGGTTTGTATGCCACCCCAGACCAGTCCATCGTTTATACTGCACTTACAGAAATACTGGCTAACAATTTTCTATTTATTAGAATTGTGGGATTGCTTCCGTGGGAGCTTGTACTCCAGAGAATAGGGTCAGTATACCACTGGCTTAGAAAAACCTAGCTAATCAAATTTGATCACGTAGGTTGGTTGTGAGCCAGGATGGTGCCTCGGGAATGGCAAAGACTCGGAATATCAATACGTATGCACTAGTGTATGTATCATGATCTCTCTACGCACGAAGAAGGGGAGAAGCGTCCAGCGACCCTTTTATTTTGGAAATTTTACTATACGGGGATACAATGCTAACTAATGCGATAGGGCTTTCCTTGCGTAACTCAGGGCAATGGATGTTATCCATTGGGAAATGGCGAGGCCAACTGTTCCTGATCGTCGATTTCATTAATGCTGACGATACATGGAGCGGTAACTTACCGCTAGACGGGGTTATACTGAGTGGCCCACTACCATTTGTGTTTTGTATTAGTTTGGTATTCTTGGCATTAGGGTTGTCCTAACACCGTGTATCTCAGCCATCTATGGGGTATTTCAACCTGCCCCATGATGTTCGCTCTTTTCTTCTAACAATCGAGCTTCTCATCCAATTCCAAAATTGATTCCACTCGGCCCCGCCTTATCTCCGATTCGCCCGAGAGGATTATCAGTCTATACTTTGTGTGTGTGTGTCATTATTTTACGGCTGTAATTGTGAAAGTGCGAGAAAGAAGATGAGTCGAAGCTTCGTGCTTGGCGAAAAGACGCAGAGAAAATGGCGGACGATTTGGCGGCTAAGGAATTGGAGGAAATACTTGAAAATGAGGAGGATGATACATTATTGGCTAATGAGGCTATTGATGGGCTTTATTTCATGGATGCTAGACCTTATACGTCTAAAAAATGAGCCAGAAGTTAAAGAAATTGAAAATTTGCATTATGGCTGTTAATTGCATTATAGCTGTGGGACACCCCCTACCCGCGATGGTGGTTGTGTGGTGGGAGGGGGCGGTCGGCTATTGGTATTCGAGAACGGTGATCTGGCTGTCCTCCCGATACCCCGGATTGACGTCTCCGATTGGTGTACCTGGAGGATTTTACTCCACTCTTTGGCCCTTTTGAATTCTTTCTGCAACGACGTTTTAGAAAGTTCAGAGAGGTTTAGGGGAGCTGAAGTATATAAGCCCAGACTTTAGCCCGAGCTCTTTCAGTCAGAATCAACTTTGCTTCTATTTAATCCTAACCATGAAGTTCCTCTTCTCTCTCGTCGCATTTGCCGGCGTCGCTCTAGCTCAGCAAGCCGTGATCGGACTTCCTAAGACTGGCCAGACAGTGGCCCGCGGTGACGAGCTGATTGTTCAAGTCCAGCTTCCTGTATGTTGACACTGCTATTTCTTATTATGAGGCCGACTTTCTAATTGCATCCTAGACCACGGCTTCCGCTTATTATGAAGTTGGGGTTGCTATCGGCATTTCCGATTGCGCCTACGGCTGCTATGCTGCCTCCGAACAAATGGGTTCAATTGTTGATGATGATGATGATGTATTCATTTGCCCGATGTAGCTCGCTCTATATATATGCTGCTATGCGGGAGTGCTGTCAGGCCTGCCGACAGCTGGAAGGTGGTCGCCAGCCCACTGGGCGACCGTCAGGGAACTCGCCTTGCGAATTTCTGATCAATCGCCCTCGAATCGAAAGACGTAAACTAAACAAAAGAAATGCACGGATGCAAACATGATAAACACAAAGCCAAAATGAACGTCATTTACCCCTGGTCGCGGGTAGGACCAGGGCCCCGCTTCAACACACCATTCCCACGCCCTCTTCTCTCCAACTGTCCAGTCTTGTCGGCTGCCGCTTGCGCGCTCGCTTGGATCAAGGGAGTACAGTGGACCTGGCACTGCACTCCTAATGGGCGCCATCCTTCTTCTTCCGTCACACTGTCTAAGGGATCATTGTCTCCGCTCCTTTGTCGTCCCCTTCCTCGCCCAGAGCCGTAGGGTCGACTGTCTGAAATTGGCCTAGGAGGCTGGTCTTGACCATGAATTCGGCCACAACTGTGCGGGCCTCCGGTCGTGTGAGGAGTTCGTCCCGGTGGAGAGCGACTCCCTGGTATGAGAGAGCGCTTCTCATCCAGTCTCGCTCGTCCTGGTGCAAGGGGCATTCCAGTAGGACGTGTGTTACTGTTTGGCTGCCAAGATCGCAATCACACCGCGCTGTTTCGCGTCGGTTGATACGATTCAGGTAAGCCCCTAGGCCAATTCGCCCAGTTCTAAGCTGCATCAGAATCGATGTCGTCGCTTTGCGCAAGCCCGTCCAGTATTCCAGCGTCTTCTTTGTTGGTGCTTCAATCAAGCGTTTCGTCGGACGACTGGTCGTTTCCTTGGCCCACGTTCTGTCCCACTCCAGCTTCGCTTCTCTGCGAATTCGTCGTCTCGCTGCGGCTGCGAGACGTATGTCTCGGTTGAGAGGGTTATGCAGCCCGTCCGGTTCCTGCGCCGCTTCTTTTGCGTGTTGGTCCACGATCTCGTTGCCAATGACTCCTTGGTGCGCAGGAATCCATCTGAGTTCTGTCCGAATACTTCTGCCGGCAAGTTGTAGGATCAGGTTGAGGCATCCTGCTAGATAGACCTGTCCTGACGGCATCCGCGGTCGCCTCAGCGCCTTCAGCGCTGCTTGGCTATCTACAAAGATGACTACACCGTTCTTCGCCTGCTTAGCCCATGGCTCTGTGCTTTCCAGAACCATTTCAAGTGCCATCTCAATGGCTCGAAGCTCTGCCGCATATACGGTGGACGTATCATCATCTCCCATCTGGCTATGAGCATGTTGATCCTCAAGGTCCACGACCGCTGCCGCTCCGATCCTTCCATCAATTCCGCTCCCGTCGGTGTACAGAATCAAGGGTCTTTCTTCTGGGTCTTTCATCAGGATCTGGTTGTGATTGTTGACCGCAGCTTCTCTGTCCTCGATGATTACCTCTGGTGGCGCTTGCCATGGTGCCAGGACGAATGCCTTTCGACTCTCCCATTTTCTTGCCAAAGTATCCGGGGGAGCCATAAGACATCCGTCCGCCTTCCAAGCTTGCGCCTCCATCGGTGACCATCCAGCCCAGTCTCTCTCATCTGCCGGTCGGCGACGTAACATCGTTGGCGGGACAGCGAACTCTGGTCCTGTCCGTAGTCGAAGGGCCGTTTCTTTCACCAGTCGATTCATGTGAACAGAAATAGGCGGTAGGTGAAGCTCTGCATTCAGTGCCTCTGCTGCCGTAGTTCTGAAAGCTCCACTGATGAGACATGCTGCCTGCTTTTGGATTGCCACGAAAGGCCGACTGATTATGCGTGCCTTGGAATGACTGATGAGCATAGGTTGATACCACGCGGAAACCCCAAAGAGCATCTGCGGGATGATCACCGCTTGGTAGATCTTTCGCATTGCATAGAGTGAGGCTCCCCACGTTGACCCTGCCAGGCTTCGTAGCGCGTGGAGAGAGACACCGGCCTTGGCCACCGCTTTCTCGCGGTGATGGTGGAATTCCAGACCCGGATCTAGCCAATAGCCTAGGTACCGCTCAGCCGTCCTCGTCGCTGTCACCGTGTGTCCTCCTAGAGACAGCGATGTGTATTGTGGGTCGACTTCCCTGGTGTTTACAAAATGCATGAGTGCATACTTCTTCGGGTCAAAAACTGATGCATGTTTCTCGGCCCATTGGTCGGCTTTGCGGCATGCCGCTCTGAGTTTCTTGATGGTTTCGCGTTCGCTGTCTCCCTTTGTCATGAAGCAAACATCGTCGACCTACCCGTTGCTAGTCACACCGTTACCGCAGTTCTCAACGAGGTCTGCGTTGTAGATGAGATATAGAATGGGTGAGATCGGTGATCCTTGAGGGATGCCTGTAGGTGTCAGGATTCGATCAGATGAGCCCTCGGGCATGCGGATCCGTGTGCTTCGATTGCTCAGGAAGGCCCTCACCCAGGGAACGAAGTGTCCCAGACGTCGTTTCTTGAGGTTGTGTAGTAGACGTTCATGGGAGACATTGTCGTACGCTCCGGACACGTCCAGCATCAGCAGAGACACCACTGGCTTGCCCTTTCCCCATGCAGTTTTGATTCGGTCGATGATAATGTGGATAGCATGATCGGTGGATATGCCCTTTCGCCCGCCTAGATGGGTTCGTGGGAGTAAACCGTTGGTTTCTGCTGCGTAGCTGATCCGTCGCGCGACAACTGCCTCCAGAACTTTCCGAGCGTGTTCAGCAGCGCGACGGGTCTGTAGGATTTTGCGAGCTGGTAGTCACTTTTGCCTTGCTTCCGGAGCACCACCGTGATTGAGCGCTGGAAATGTGACGGGTTGTATCCCGTGTTTATGCATGCGTTGAATAACTGGACCACTGTTGCTAGAACCACCGGTATCTCGATAAGCTTGTGCCAGAGAGAGTTTGGTATACCGTCTTCTCCGGGTGCTTTCCCTGCTTTCGCCCCTCGCACCGCCTCCTGTATCTCTTGAGCGGTGACTGCTGGAAACTCGATTTGCTGTGGGTACTGGAATGAGTCCGTGTCGGATAGATCGGCTGGCGGCGGTTTGGGGAAGAAGGCAATCCGGAATGCCTCTGCCTTTTGATCAACTGTTTCTGCGAGAGTTCCAGGCATTTGGGGATCCTGTATTTTCAGCGAAGGGGTGATACCCTTCTCGTAGGCCCCATCTCGGTTTCTTGCCCATTTAGCCAATCGCCACATACCCTGTGGGCCATCTTCAATGACCTGCTGGACTCGGCGCCGGTGCGCCCTTGACAAGGTTCTCTTGACGAGTCGTGTTTTTCTGTTGCGTGCTTCAGAGTAGCACATCCAGTCGTAGGGGTCTTGAGTTCTCGTATGTTTGCGACGGAGGCGACGAACCTCTTTGACCGCAACTTTACACTCGTCGTCAAAGTCGGGGTTCGACCACGCGGATGGTTTTGCCCATGGGGTTGATTCCTCGATTGCTGTTTGGATCGCTCCCATCAGCTCCTGGCATTTGGCTTCTATCCTTTGCGGATTTGCCCGGTATAGGCCTCCTGTCCGTAGACCTCCTTCGATCTTCTGGATGAGTTTCTGATCATCGGTTGCGTTCCAGTTTCTTCTCTTCTGTTGTACTGCAATGGGTGTAATAATATCAAGCACAGTCCTGATCGGGAAATGGTCGGATGCGTGTTCGATGTCATCCGCCCTCTCGCAATTGATAAGCCTGTTGACAAGGTTGGATGTGATGAAGGTGAGGTCAATCACCGACGACTGATCGTTTCGAGACCAGGTAGGTCTGCCTTGTTGGGTCGTCAACTCGAGTCCCCATTCATTGGCGATTTCTAGGAGTTGCTCGGCCTCCTGATCGGGCCTGGTCCCTGTTCCTCCCCATCTCGGGTGATGCGGGTTCATATCTCCAAGGATGATGTGTTCTCCATGAGGTCGTTTTGACAGCTCATTTCTTAGATGTCTAAGAGTATTGCTGCCCGGCCTATTGTATATGTTGTGTATGAATAGATCTGTCCAGTCTCTGCCCTGATGAGCCTTTCTAAGTTTCAGTAGCTGGTAGTCCTGTGAGACGAGTTGACACGACCAATGGCTCGGGTCAAGCCTTTTAGACACAAACAGGCATACGCCCGGTTGGGAGAGATCCGAGGCTTGGACTTGATCGTCCTGGCCTTGGGTTGATCCATCAGCAGCTGCTTTTGGTGGGTAAATTAGCTGGAAAGTTGCCGTCGCTGGTTGGTGCGTTGTGTGTTGCATTTCGTTCTTCCATGGCCCCTGCACCGCGACGACGTCCGCCGCGAGGACATTTCTGTCTCTGAGGAACGTTGCCATCACTGGCCACGATTTGTGTACGTTGTATTGAAGAATCTCAAACGATTTCATTGATGAGTTTGTTCGTCATCGCTTCGTTCGCTGGCCTCGTGCCATACTTCATCATTTGGGTCTTCGATTGTTGGTGCATCCGTCGGAAAAAGCGGCGGAGATGATCCAATCGGTATCGCTTGCCGCTGCGTGTATTTCAGAATCACCAATTTGCGGTATTCGGGGCTCTCGGGGTCCAATTCCCCCTCGTCATCAGGCCCGGACGTGTTACCGGCCTCATTGACAGTGGTGACCTCGTTGATGAATTGGGTAAGTCGGTGTTCTAGGCTATCCTGCTGAGTGTCAGGTTGAGGGAGATTGGCCGGAGTGGGTTGAATGCTGAGCCATTCATTGTCGTCTGGTTGCTCGTCCATGGTGTCGTCCGGCTCGCCTGTGCGGCGCCTTTTCGAGGCCGCTTGGAACCTTGTTGACCCTTGGCATGCCAGCGGTATCACTGTTGGTTTGGGATTCTTTGGCCTCGTTCTTGAGCCCTTTGGGCGGCCAGGGCCTCTTTTGAGCTGAGTAGGCTGAGTCGGTTCAGTGACCTCCTCTGGTAATGTTTCTACTTCTATCGCTGCAGTCTCCACGTCCATTACAGCATCCTGGGGGTTCCGTGGGGGCTCTTCCCCCCGTTGCCCCTCCGGAGCGTGTATCGACGCTTCGAGTCCATTCGAAACCATGGGGTCTGCCCTAGTC